AAAAATCCTCACAGCTGGACCAATAAGCAACATCATGATAAATGGAGAAAAGATTGAAGTTGTCAAGGATTTCATTTTACTTGGATCCACAATCAACACTCATGGAGGAAACAGTCAAGAAATCAAACAACGTATTGCATTGGGCAAATCTGCTGCAAAAGACCTCTTTAAAATGTTGAAAAACAAAGATGTCACTTTGAGGACTAAGATGCCCTGACCTAAGCCATGCTCTTTTCAGTCACTTCATATGCATGCAACGCTGGACAATGAATAAGGAAGACCAAAGAAAAATTGACACATTTGAATTATGGTGCTGGTGAAGAATATTGAATATACCATGGACTGCCATAAGAATGAACAAATCTGTCTTGGAGGAAGTACAGTCAGACTACCCCTTAGAAGCCAGGATGATGAGACTTGGTCTCACTTACTTTGGGCATATTATCAGGAGGGACCAATCCCTGGAGAAGGATACCATGCTTGGTAGAGTAGAGGGTCAGTGACATAATGGCTACAGCAATGGACTGAAACAAACCTACTACTGTGCAGATGGCTCAGGACTGGGCAGTGTTTCATTCTGTTACTCATAAGGTCACCATGAGTTGGAGCCAGCTCGATGGCACCTAACAACAACAAAAATAACATATTAGTGACAGTGAACGTAACAGTAAAATTTATTTCTCATGATATGAAAGCATCATATTTGGATGTGGGGAGGAGGGCCTTTCCAATAGGCTTCAGAGTTTACAAACATAAAATAAAACTATTCAACTATTTGGCTTGTTTCTATTTCTCTTACCTCCAGGTAGTGTCTTTTCTTCCTTTCAGAGGATGGAGTCCTGGTTTCAAGGACTTTTTGTTATTGCATGCCCCAAGTGTCAACCAATAGTGCAGTCCTCCCTCCCTCACTCTCCTAGTCACACTCGCTGCTCTTCCCATCCCACTCGCACCCCTCCCAGCAACAATGGAGGTGTGAAAAATAGAGCTGCCTAAGGATAGTACAGAGCCCTGATGGCACAGTGGTTAAGAAGCTTGACTGCTAACCAGAAGGTCAGCAGTTCGAATTCGCCAGCTGCTCCTTGGAAACTCTATGGGGCAATTCTACTCTGTCCTATAGGGTCGCTATTAGTTGGAGTTGGAATGGACTCTACGGCAATGGGTTTGGGTGTTTTTTTTTTTTTTTTTTTTTAAGGATAATACAGTAGTCAAGTACAAAGGCTCAGAGTTCTTTCCCTGTCACTTACAGTTGTATGACCTTAACCTCTCTGAGCATCAGTTTCCTCATCTGTAAAATGGCCACAATAATGATACCTACCTAACAAGGTTACTCTGAGGATGAAAAGAGGCCATGTGTATAAAAGGATATCACAGTGCCTGGCACTTAAAGAGGTCTCAGTAAATGATGACAGAGATGATGATGGAAAACAGAACCAAATCTGAGGGTCTTTATGATCACAACAAGGTGATTTTTGTTTTTATCCACAGTCTCACAACTTTGCATTTCAGTGATTTTTTCAGTTGATGGAGGATGTCACAGTCTCTACTTGGACATATCTCGAATCAGAATTCAAGCATCAAGATGAAGTGTCAACATTTTGGAACCTTCTGAAGTCACTGGAATGTTTCTATTTTAAAAACATGCATAACTTTCTTTGAAATGTATCAAAATATAAAATGGATGGATAGATAAATGGATGGATGGATATGTGATAAAGCAAATAGAACAAAATGTCAAATCTAGATGGTAGAAGATAGGAGCTCACCATCCACATCTTTTGACTTTTCCATATATTAGACATTTTCATAATAAACTGTTTGAAAAAAAATATGTGCAGGATCCTGATCACATGGCCAAGCTCTAATCTTAATACTCTGCCTTTGGAAATTGTGCTTTTTTTTTCCTAACTAAAAATATGAAGTAATGTAGTGATTTAAAAAGAAAGTGTTATCTAATGCTTCTTCAGTGACTGACTCTTGATACTTCAAGAGCTTTCTAAAGAAGCGTAGTGTTCTTTGGATCAGAGTTTAAGAAGCCCAGGACTAACAGCAATAGCAATGATAATAATAACAGTACAAACATGTATTTAGTGTGTGCCAGGCACTGTTCTAGATGCCTCATTGTATTATCACATTTAATCCTCACAAAACCCTTTGGGAGACAGTGTGTTATTATCTCCATTTTACAGATGAGGAAACTGAGGCATAAAGAGAGAATACGTAACTCCCCCAAGGTCATAGAGCTAGTGTCTTAGTTATCTAGCACTGCTGTAACAGAAATACCACAAGTGGGTGGCATTAAAGAACAGAAATTTATTTTCTCACAGTTCAGGAGGCCAGAAATCTGAATTCAGAATGTGACTATAGGGGGAGGTTCTTTATCTATTTCAGCTTCCAATCGCTGACACTCCGTGGTTCTTTGGTGACCTTCACATGGCATCTATTTTCCCATTTGTGCTGCTTATCTAAAGAGCCCTGGTGGCACAGTGGTTAAGCGCTTGCCTGCTACTGAAAGGTCAGTGGTTCGAATCCACCAGCCGTTCCATGAGAGAAAAGACATGGTGATCTGCTCCTATAAAGATTACAGCCTAGGAAGCCTATGGGGCAGTTCTACCGTGTTGTATAGGGTAGCTATGAGTCAGAATCGACTCGATGGCAACAGGTTTGGTTTTGGTTTTGCTGCTTGTCTTTGTGTCTGTGCTGCTTCTTAAAACCCAGAAGTGATTAGTTTTAGGACACACTCTACACTGATATGGCCTCAATACCATAACAAAGAAAACCCTATTCCCAAATGGGATCACATCCACAGGTATAGGGGTTAAGATTCCAACATATATTTGGGGGGCAGTGGGCAGGGGGAGGTGTGGTGGGGACCTTAACAGCTAGTGAGTGGTAGATTAGGACTACTGAGTGAATACTTGATATAATCAGATAACTAACCCCATACTAAGCTTAATGGGAGGTAGAGAACAATTGTCAGTAGAATTCAGACTTGATGTTGGGTTGTTTTAGCTTTTGTTTATTTGTGTCGTGAGTTACTTAAGTACGTAGTGTGTCCTCTGTCTGATTATCAGACCCGAGTTCATCTTTGCTGAATATCACTGTTAAAAAAGATAGTCTTAAAAACATGCAGAATTGTAATTGTGATCATTGTTAAGTCCATCTGTCCACTCTCACCTCTGCTGACTTCTGTCTCTGGCCATTGCTGTATGTTGTAGTCCATTCATTCTAACGTCGTGTTTTTGAGTAATTAGAGGATTGCATTTTTCTTTTTGGAGGGGGGGACTACATTTTTCTAACCAGATTTATTTCTGAAAACCTTACAGGGAAAGCAGAGAGTATGAAAGCCTATCTAAAGAGCGCAGAGGGCTTTTTCGTCCTGAGTAAAAGTACGACGATTGGAAGGCATGAGGATTCTGACCTTGTTTTAAAGGTAAGAACTCTTCCTCCTCGCTTTCCACCGCTCTGTCAACTAGACATCCCTTTGTACTCCCTAGAAGGTTCTTGTTGGCCTGTGGGCTCAAATCTCTTAGAACGCACAACCTCTAACAGCCACGTCTTTCCTTGATATGCTCCCAATCACCAATCGCATTGGGTTTCCTGGGCAGAGGTAGTGAAAATGGGCATGATGCAAAGAGGGTGTGCCCTCCATCCTTGGCTGGACTTGTTTCAGATGTCTCCCCACCACCCAACATCCCCACTGCAGCAGCCTGATGGGTGGTTTGGAGGGCGAGGTGAAGAGCTGGTGTTTTGGCCTTTGCCTGCTCTGGCCAGTCAGCCAGGGCCACCGGGAGTGCTTAGCTGGGGCAAGGGCCTCTCACCCTTTTCAGAGTTCCTCGGGACTGTCGTGGGCCCCGCGGAGCCCATGGACCTCCACACAGGACATCAGGGTAAGGCCTGGGCTTAGCCTCAGCATTCTTTCCCTTTATTACATCCTCTGAATTAGCAGTAGTTCGGTCCAGAGCCTCAGCTCATTAACAGCCGAGGAAGGCAGATGAAAGAGGAATAATAAACGCAGTGATTTGAGCCTTTTTAAACATTGAAGGGGGTTCAGTATTGCAGGGGAAAGGGAAATGTGGTGGAATCTCTTTATAAGTGTGAAAGGCAGTGGGTCTCTCTCAGACCTCACCCAACAGAGTATTCAGATTATTTCTAACTTTTTATTTTGAAAAAGTTATTGATTCACAGGAAGTTCCAAAAAATGGTATAGAGAGGTCCTGTGTACCCTTCGCGCAGTTTCCCTCAATGGTTATATAACTACAACAATATCAAAACCAGGAAGTTGACATTGGTACAGTGTGTGTGTCAGTTCTATGCCATTTTATAACCTACGTAGATTGGTGTAACCACCGCCGCAATCAGGATACAGAAGTTGATTCCATCACCAAGAAGATCTCCCCTGTGCTACCCCTTTATAACCACAACACCCCCTTCTGGCCACCGTCCCTAACCCTGGGAAACCACTAATCTGCTCTCCATCTCTATATTTGTTATTTCAAGAATGCTGTATAACTCTGGTGATGGGAAATTTAGCAATGGTTATGGGTGATGGTTGCACAACATGGTTAATGTAATTGATATCACTGAATTATACACCTCAAAAATGTTGAATTGTCAAATGTTGTGTTATATATTTTTATAACAACAATTAAAAAAAAGAGCGCTACGTAGATGGAATCATACAATATGTGATCTTCTGAGATTGGCTTTTTTCACTCAGCATAATTGTCTTGAGATCCATTTAGGTTGTTATGTGTCTCAATAGTTTGTTCCTTTTTATTGCTAAGTAATATTCCATGGTATGAGTGTACCATAGTTTAACTATTCACATATTGAAGGACGTTTTGATTGTAGTTTGAAGCTGTTACAAATAAAGCTGCTATCAACATTAATGTACAGGTTTCTGTCTAGACAGAAGTTTTCATTTCTCTGGGATAAATGCCCGAGAATGTGATATCTGGGTCATATGGTAAGTATTCTATGTTCGGTTTATGAAGAAACTGCCAAACCATTTTCCAGAATGGCTGTACCATTCTACAATTCCACCGACAATATAGAAGAGATTCAGTTTCTCTGCGTTCTCACCAATGTTTGCTATCATCTTTTTTTTTTTTAAGCTGTTCTCATAGACGTGTAGTGATATCTCATCATGGTCTCAATTTACATTTCCCTAGTGGCTACTGATGTTGACAGTCTTTTAATGTATTTATTTGCCACTTCTTTGGTGACATGAAATATTTCTTCATGTCTTTTGCTCATTTTCTAATTTGATTGTCTTTGTACTGTTCAGTTTTGAGAGTTCTTTGTATATTCTAGATGTGGGTCCTTTGTCAGAATAATGATTTGCAAACATTTTCTCGCACTCTGTAGCCTGTCTTTTCATGCTCTCTCTTTTTTAATTTTATTGTGTTTTAAGTGAAAGTTTATAGCACAAATTCATTTTTCATTCAAAAATTTATACACAAATTGTTTTGTGGCATTGGTTGCAGTCCCTCCAATGTGTCAGCACTCTCCCCCTTTCCACCCCAGATTCCCCGTTTCCATTCGTCCAGTTTTCCTGTCCCTTCCTGCCTTCTTGTCTTTGCTTTTGGGCAGCTGTTGCCCATTTGGTCTCGTATACTTGATGGAATTAAGAAGCACATTCCTCACGTGTGCTATGGTTTGTTTTATAGGCCTGTCTAATCTTTGGCTGAAAAGTGGGCTTCAGTTCTGAGTTAGCAGGGTGTCCAGGGGCCGTAGTCTTGGGGGTTCCTCCAGTCTCTGTCAGACCAGTAAGTCTGGTCTTTTTTTGTGAATTTGAATTTTGTTCTGTAATTTTCTTCTGCGCTGTCCGGGACCCTCTACTGTGATCCCTGTCAGAGTGGTTGGTGGTGGTAGCCGGGCACCATCTAGCTCTTCTGGGCTCAGGCTGGTGGGGGGTTGTGGTTCATGTGTACCATTAGTCATTTGGACTAATATTTTCCTTGTCTCTTTGGTTTTCTTCATTCCCCTTCGTTTTCATTCTGTTGAAGAATCTTTCACAGAGCAAAAGTTTTAAATTTTGATAAAGTCCATTTTATCAGTTTGTTTAATGGATCATGCATTTGGTGTCATGTCTAAGAATGCTTCACCAAGCCCTCAATCCTGAAGATTTTCTTCTATGTTTTCTTCTAAATGTTTTATACTTTTCTGTTTAAATCTATGGTCCGTTATGGTTTTTTTTTTTTTTTCTGTATTTTATGTCAGATTTAGGTTGAGGTTCATTTTTTTGCCTATGGATATTTTGTTGCTCCAGCACCATTTGTTGAAAAGACTGTCTTTCTTCCATTGAATTGCTTTTGCACCTTTGTCAAAAATTAGTTAGCTGTACTTGTGTGGGGCTATTTCTGGGTTCTCTGTTCTACTCTATTGATCAATGTGTCTGTCCCTCCACCAGTGTCACATATTCTTGATTACTGAAGCTATGTAATAAGTCTTGAAATTGTGTAGACTGTTTGCTTCCACTTTATTCTGCTTTTTCAAAATTGTTTTTACCTCCTCTTGTTCTTTTGCCTTTCTATATAAATTTTAGTGTAAACTTAGGTATATCTACAAAGGTCCCTGGGTAGCTGAAATGGTTTGTACTTGACCACGAACCAAAAGGTTGGTGGTTTGAACCCACTCATCAGTGCCACAGAAGAAAGGCCTGGCGATCTGCTTCCATAAAGATTACAGCCGAGAAAACTCTATGGAGCAGTCCTACTCTGTAACTCACGAGATTGCCATGGGTCAGAATTGAGTCAACGGCAGTGGGTTATATCTACAAAGAATCTTACTGTGATTTTTTTTTTTAGCAATTGTGCTAAACATACAAATCAGTGTGGGGAGAATTGATATCTTCACTATGTTGAGTCGTCCAAACCATGAACATGGTATGTCTATCCACATTTAGGTCTTCTTTGATTTATTTCATCAGTGTTCTTGTAATTTTCAGTGTATAAGCCCCCTGTATGTTTTGTTAGATTTACACTTCTTTCTTCTTTTTTTTTTTTTTAGCAATTGCAAATGATCTTGTATTTCTAATGTAGGTATCCACATGTTCATTGCTAGTATATAGAAATACCATTGATTTTGAATGTTTATCTTGAATCCTATGAACTTGCTCAACTCACTAGTCCTAGGAAGTTTTGCTTTGTTTCGTAGATTTCTTGGGATCATAGACAATCATGTTATCTGCTAATAGGGGCAGTTTTATTCTTCCTTTATGATCTATATGCCTTTTATCTCCCTTTCTTGCATTCTTGCACTGGCTAGTACTCCCAGGACTATGTTAAATAAGAGTAATAAGAGCAGACATCCTTGTCTTGTTCCTGATCTCAAGGGGAAAGCATTCAGTCTTTCACCAGTAGGTATGATGTTAACTGTAGGTTTTTTGTGGATGTGCTTTGTCAAGTTGGGGAAGTCCCCCTTTATTCCTAGTTTCCTGGGGGTGTTTATCATGAACTCAACAGATTTTAAAATAACTCCAGGAACCTCCCCTTGAGATTCTCATCTGTGACGCGGTCTCTCTACAAGGACACAGAAAATCTGTTCCGGGTACAAAGGAGGAAAAAGAGTTTCAGTTTCTTCTTTGTCCTAACAAGGGGTAGATTTTAGGTATTTTTACTTTCTGACTGGCCAAGATGGAGACAGGGAGTTTCTGTTTTGAACCTAACTATTTTATCAGAGGAGTCCCTGAATGGTGCACATGGTTAATGCACTTAGTTGCTAACTGAAAGGTTGGAGGTTTGAGTCCACCCAGAGGTACCTGAGAAGAAAGACCTGAGAATCCACTTCCAAAAAAATCAGCTACTGAAAACCCTGTGGAGCAGTTCTACTCTAACACACATGGGGTTGCCATGAGTCAGAATCAACTCGAGGGCATCTGTTTTTGTTTGTTTTTATGGTATTAGAAAACTGTAGTAATAAAGAAAAGCACAGGCTTTAGAGATAGACCTGGGTTTGAATCTCATTAGGCTACTTTCTGGCGGTGTGACTTGAGGCAAATTACTTAACAGCTCCAAGCTTGTATTTCCCATCTGTAAACCAATTATGTCGGGGTTGTGATGAAGATTGCATAAAAAAAGCATATAAAGGGCCTGGCTCCTGGTGCTCAGAAAAGGCACCGTGGCCATTATTACGTTCTCCTAAACGAGAGACTGAGAAGAATTCTCAGGGGTACACAGTGTTGAAATGGGGATCCGCTGATGTTTGGAAAGGGGAAATAATGGGGCAAATCATTATAGAGAGAGAAATTGAGTTGCATTCGTTGTATAAAAATAATTGACTGCTTACTGCTCCTCGGCCTTAGTGTAAGTAAGTCACTACTGCCAGCAACAGTCACATTGATTTATGAAGGAATCAGCCGTATTTCCAGAAGCGCGAGCTTACATTGGCTCCCCAGAGAACGAATGATACATGAATTGCCAAATGCTT